TACAATAAAAACTATAAAACACTGAGGAAAAGAAAAAGAAAGAAGACCTTCCGTGTTTAAGGATAGGCAGAATTAATATTACTAAACCCCACAATAGGCAAAACAGTTYTAAGTTAAAATGCTGGAGGTATCACAATACCTGACTAGGTATGGAAATACCATATGAGCCAGCTGTACCTCAGTATTTGTACTCAAGAATCAAAGTGATCATATGATATGATACATGCACACCCACATTTACAGAAACAAAATTCTACAATAGCCACATTATGGAACCAGTCTACACGTCCATCAACRGATGAATGGATTAAAGAAAATATGGTATATATACAAAATGGAGCTTTATTCAATCATAAAGAAAAATGGAATTATGCCATTTGTAGGAACAGATGAAACTTGAGAACATTATGTTAAGCAAACTAAGCTAAACTCAGATTTTTTTTGTCTCATATGTGGATGGTAGAGAGGAAAAAGGAAATGGTAGGCAAGATGGATCTCTTAGAAATTAAAAGCATATCAGTAGAACAGAAGGAGAAAGGAGGAAAAGGGGAAATACAGGGGAATGATACTGGCCACATTGTTATATTGTGTGTAAGTACAAATATGTACCAGTAAATCTCACCATTGTGTACAATTATAATGCACCAATAAAAACATGGGGAAAAAAACCCTCAAAAATATGATGTAGGTAGATTGAAAGGAAAAGGATAGGAAACAGTATATCATGCAAACATTAATGAAGAACAAAAAACAGAAATGGGTGTATTAATTTAAAACAAAGTAAAACTTCAGAGCAAACACAATTTCTTGAGTCTAGGAGTGAGGTTACTTAATGATTAGAGGGTTGTTCCAACAAGACGACACTGTGACCCTTACACTTGCTTCACCAAACCACAGAGCTTCAAAATATATGAAGCAAAATTCATTGAGTTAAAAAAAGAAATAGCAAAACACAGAAATGTTATATCTATTATTTTAGTTGGGAATTCAACAACACTCCCACTTTCAGGAATGAACAGAATGACTAGATATAAAGCCAGTGAGGAGACATATATAACTGAACAATATGATAAACCACAAGGGTGCAAATGACATAGAACATTCACCAAGATAACCAGATCCAGAGTCATAAACCTGGAAACATCAAGGAGAACTAAAATCATTGTGTTCTCTGGCCATACATAAGAAATCAGTAACAGAAATAAAACAAAATCTCCCAATACTTGGAAGTTGAACAACACACTTCTTAATAATTCAAAGAAAACTTAAGAGAATATACAGGACTAGGGTGCTTCTTAATAATTCAAAGAAAACTTAAGAGAATATACAGGACTAGGGTGCAGTTGGGAGGGAAATTTAGATACTAAAATGCTTAGAAAATAAGGTCTTGATAAGTTTTTTTTCAAGAAACTAGGAAAGGAAAAGCAAGATAAACCCAAAGCAGCAGAACAAAGGAGGAAAAGCGATTAGCAGCTTCCAGTGGTACTGATCCAACTTGGGTGTCAGGCCTGGGATTTTGGTGGAGACTGCTTGTTTTTCCTCCAATGACTCCACTGCTCAAGAGCCAAGGCCCTCTCATGCTCTGCTTCTTGGCCACTAATTCTCAACAGATGCTACTGTGCTGAATGATGACCCTAACAAGGCTCAGGTATTCAGCAGCATCCTAAGCCTCCTATTTGTGAAGAAGTGAGCCAGGAAAAAAGATGTAACTTAGCTTCACTAATGTTAGGATCATGATGAATTCAGAACTCATGGTGTGATTTCCTGTGCTATTGGGAAAAATTGGTCACAGAGCAGGAGGGTGCTCTGGCRACCCACATCACCTGCTGCTAGGCCAGTCATCAGGCTCTGAACTTTTCTGTTACTGATAAGAAACTGCCTTCCAATGCATTATACTGTAGTCATTTTCTTTGTCCCAAAGTACTGTTCCTACACTTGAGGTACACATGTGGAGTAGGTTTGAAGATAGTCAGCCAGTAGCCTAACTGTAGGCTCTCAACAGTCTTGGAAGTAAGGATTGCCAGTGTGTAGGACTCAACAGCTAAATTTAAACAGCTCATATTCCTACTTGGAGGAGGGAGAARAGGAAGAGAAAAGGGCAGCAGACAGGAGGCAAAGAGGGTGCGGCAAAGAGAATGGGTAGAGAAGGAAGAGGGAGGAATTTAAGGATGTGTGCTTAAGGCCCCCGTGATATCTCTGCCATATTCCCTCTGCTGGTTACCGGCTTCTCTCCATGGTTCACAATGCAATTTCCTAGACTAAGACATGGTAAACCCAATCCTTCTCTGCCAGGAAACATGGTAGGTCACAGAGAAATTATGAATTAGGTAACTCATTGGTACAGGTCAGTACCAAGTCTGTGTGAAGACACTTTGTTGGTGGCTGTGACCATGGAGGCCCCAGGCAGWTCTAGCTAGTTCTTCATTCCTTACACTCTCAAAACATGTCCAATCATAGAAATCATCTGGGAGCCTTAAAGAAATTTCTAGGCCTGAAATCTCAGTTCAGCAGGCCAGGGAGAGAGCCAGATTTATTTATTTATTTTTTAAAATAAGCATTCTGGGCCATGCATAAGGGCAAAGCTCTCTTAGTATTGGGGTAGTTAGGAAGTACCACTGTGGCCCAAGGTCAATCCATTCTGAGTTGACTAATTTTGTTTGTAAATATCCCACATTTTGTTAAAAAGAAACTCTCCTGCATTGGACCTAAACACTTATATGTTAATTCAGTACACATGTTCAATGAACTAAGTTTTTTTTTTTACCTATGCAAGGAAACCCTGGTATTCAACTTAAACTGAGTATCTCGGGGCCCAGGGCCATGCAAAGAGGGAACTAGTTCCTTGGGCTGCATCTGTCTGCAGGAGGCTCTCTGTTCAGTTCTGGACCCTGTGGTCATTCTACTGCTGATAGCCTTTTCTCACTTAATTCAATATACTCTGTTAAAAAAAAAAAAAACCCACAAAAACAAACAACAAAAAAAAAAACTTGTCAAGCAGAACATACTCTCCTGTGACTCATTCATCATTCCTTTACTCAAACAGCAGACTACTCAAGTGATCTGAACCTGACCAACATCCTCATAGAGCCACCAGCTCTGCAAGAATGGGGCTCGGCCTATCCAGCTGAGTGTTACTTTTGAGCATGGGCTCTAGTGTGCCTCCCACCAGCTCCTGAGAGCACAAGCTCTTTAACCACTGGGAAGTGAATGAAATCTCTGTTACATCATCTGGACACTCCTGCTGTGCCCTTCCCTCTTGCCCATGGCTCTAAGGTAAACCTGGAATACAGTGCATTCAGGAAAACACACACATACATTTTACTCTAAGCAGACCAACAGTTTACTTGGATCAGAAATGGCTTGTACCCAATCAGGAAACACATGGCAATGTGCTAGTGGTACTCCTTCAATTATCAGTTTTATCCAACAATTTAGAGAAATATAGAATTTCAACATTAAAATGAGGATATATCAAGGAATGGGTGCATTCAAGTTCACAGTTCTTTTTTGAGGAAAAAAGGATGCTAACATTTAAGGTTTAGTTCTTGCACAACTTCCACAACCATGAAAAGAACACGTCTTAAGTTCTGCTGCTTGACCAGACCAAATGTAGTAGTCAACCTACAGAGGTACAATTATCATTTTAAGCCACTGAGTTTTGGGGTAGTTTGTTACATGGCAATAGCAAATCACAACCTCAGTCTATTTGTTCCTAAAATTCCAAGGCCAGCGCTGTGCACCAAGAACACTGCAGTTAACATTGTTATTGAGCATATACTGTGCTATAGACTGCACTAAAAACAGGAGATGTGATGGTGATTCAGATGGAAACAATTCTTGTCTTCACGGAGCACATTTTATTTGAACTCTGATGAATTCTGTTAAAAAAAAAATCTTAGTAATACAGAATGATGGGTGAATTAAACACTATGGTGTCAGTCCAAAGAGAGAGAAAAAAACAGAAAGACCAGATAAAGATCCAGGCATATGTGGGTGGTTTCTCTGAAGTAACAAAAGTGGCATTACAAACCTGTGGAGAAATAATGAACTAATTAATGATACTGGAAAAAGAAACTTTCCATTTAGCAAAAACTAAAACTGGATTCCTACCTCTGACTACATAGACACTCAGAAAATCAAAATTCCAGCTGGATTAAAGACAAAAGTATGGAAAATATTACTTTTGTGATTTCTTAAACGAGACCAAGACTCTCAAACCACAAAGGAGATTGATAAATTTTACTACATAATAATGAAAAACTATAAAAAAACTACTCTAAATAAAGTTAAGACAACTGGTACACTGACAAAATATTTTTTATATATATGTACATGTAAAACAATGGATTCAGAGCCAAAACAGATAATCATTATTTCAATAAGAAAAGATAACCTGGTAGAAAAATGGGGAAAAGATATGAAAAGGCAACTTGCAGCAAAGGAAAACCAGTCAGTTAACAATTAAACAGTCCAAGGTCTAGTAGGTTTGTTTCACCTACCTTAGCCTCAGATGCATGTTGGCACCACCAGTATTTATGGCAGGAGTCCATAACTTTGTTTTCTGAGACCACTCACTTGTGATCTGGAGACCACACCAACTCAAAAGCAATTCCAAATAACTCTGGGGACTTGTTAGGAGAGGTGTCGCCATTTTAAMAAAAGAAATAGGAGATCCTTACCCAGGGATATTCACTTTTTGTGTTAAACCTTGGGCTTAATGATGGCCTCTTCATGAATACTTGATTTTAATGCACACGCTGTACACTTTTAATACATAAGAGGGAAACCTGTGCGCTGTGGATCAACTCACACGACGGGCTTGGAAGCCCGTCAACTCCAACTAAGTTTGGGCACCTGTGTATTTCTCATGCACACTGATGGGAACAGACCAAAAAAAAAAAAAAAAAAAAAAAAACCCAAAAACAAAACAAAAAATCATTTTAAAAAAAGATGCATTCTTGAAGAAAGTTTTAATTAAAAAAATCAAAAGAAAAACTGAACAGTGCCTAAATCTTTATTTTTCATAACCTACATTTTTTTTTCCAAATTAGACAGTTTTACACTGAATGACACAAAAGGAAACTTAAATTACCAATAGTTTACATGTAAGCTTGATTCCAGTCTTAATGAAAAGAAGTAGAACAAAAAGAAAACCCTCAAGAAAGCTTCCACATTACACTTCTGTGACTTGGCAGCTGTTAGWACTCCTTGAATCTTCGATTGTCTGCTGCTTTCCGTGTTAACAGGCTACAAAGCACACAAAACCCACGACTATAGCTCACTGAAGGGGACACAAAGACAGGTATGCACCATCAGTCACCTGTTGTAATACATCAAACCAGTTTTTAAATGTAAACTGCAAAAATCCTGACTAATACAGCAACATAAGACATTTTTTGCCACCCACTAGTGGCAACCAGTGATGCAATGACAGGAGGGACTGATCAGAGACATCATGACACCAATTCTTAGAGAGCGACCACTCAAAATTCATGTCTGGTGACACGGGCCAGATTCTTACTCCTATATTTCCAAATGATTAGTATCACACAATTTTACAAGTTAAAATGTCATTTGTGACTGCAGTATTTGATTCTATAACTCAAGATACTGCTGAGAAAGGAAGGAGTAAATAAAAAGTATGAAAACCACATATCATTAGCTGTATGTGACATATCAACAGTCTGCATGCGCCCTCACAGCTTCCTATAGTGATAACTCCCATTTTCTAGCTGAATGGAAAATCTTAAGGTACTATCAGAAAGGTTGTTTTGTTTTTTGTCTTGTTTGTTTTGACATGTAGCTATTTGGCATATCACCTTTCCTTAATTAAACAGAGTGCTATAAAAATGACATCTGAGCATAGTTTTAGCTCTTGATGCCAGACGGTCCCTGGCTAAGCAGAAATCAATAGTGCACTGACCTCCTCTAAATGGCAGCAGAACCTACCAGAACAGCACCCTCACTGTCATGACTACCTACGCCAACACATACCCACCTGCTCTCTGTCCTGTGTGCAGCTGCTGACCTTTATACTTTCAGCTCATAAACAAACTTAGAAACTATATAGCTGGCTACCTACACACACGGCGCTGCAATGCTTGCGCCTTGGGGAAAGGACTGCCCATTATTAAAAACCAGGATTCACCTTGTGGGCATTGTGACTTGGGGATGAGGTGGCTATCAATTCCCTGGCACCTCTTCCAGCAAATATGTGACATGAAGGACCCTAGGTCTCAGAGCTTGCCTTTCCAGCTTTTACAGTATCTGTTAGCTTGGGTTTAAGAAATCAATCATTTCTGACTTTTTTCCTTCTTGGTCAGTGATCTGACAACTATAAAGAAATTAATTCCCATGTTCCTTTAATGGGCATTTGAAGCCTATTAGCATTGTGTTTATTTCTATATATTTGAATAATGACAACTGCTCTGAAAGAAATGGTCAAATATATCAAGCATGTTTTTTTTTCCCCCCCTGGCAGGATAAACCACACTTAGCAGTGTACTTTTTAATTAGTTTTTTTAAACTTTCACTTGCATATCCTGCTAGTTTCTGCTTTCTATACTTCAAAACCCTTTCACATTAGATATGATTAGCATGTACTTATATACTTTTTAAGAATATGAAAACATCTGAAGGCTTTTAAAAGACTTTCCACTTCCCTTTTGCAGCAAAGAGGCAGAATCAGTTCAACATACCAATAAGAGGGGGGAAAAAAACCTCAACAAATTAAAATAATGTTCAAACCACAACATTTAGTTTATCTACATCCAGCTCAACAGCAACATTTATAATATATCAATAATTTTTATCAGATTTTTCTCTGTAGGGTACCTTTTTAATATGTTCTGATTATTTACAACTGTACAAGCAAAGCACACTCCCAAGTGCACATATTTAATACAGTATCGACTATTTGCATTTACAGGATTTTTCAACAATCTGAAAAAAGATCAACTGTTGAAGATCTTTAAGGTATATTACAAAAACTACCGCTAGTTCTTGTACTACAGTATGCTTACTCAGCAAAGCTAACAACAAGAGATCCACACCGGTAACTGAGTAACTCTGATCCACTCCTGCCAACCCAGGGGCCGGTCTCCATGAGCTCTAAGCTGTCTTATACAAAAGTTAAGGCAAAGTCATTTTCAAGTTTAAATAAAATTCAAGTCTTTAAATATTGGATGGAAATAATTTTTTTTTTTTTAAAAAAAACCCTCAGTCTTGTTAAATAACATTTTGTGGAATAAACTGTATGGTTACATTTAGCAGGAAATATTTTAATGTCTGCTGCTTAGAATACTTAAAGAAAAATTTTAGGCATTTTAAAACAAAATAATTTATATTTAACTTTATTATAAACTTGCTAACTTTAGTGCATCCTTGTTCATCAGAAGTGCAACACTTCTAGAAGTGAATCAATGAAACCCTCATCTTGGAGGTAAAAAGAGCAGGAATTTCTGTCCTCCACCAGCCAAAGAGGGGGAAAAACCACAAACACCATTCTTTCACGGTTACATACTTTTAAATCCATGTGCCGATGCAGAGGTACAGGAAGACATCCACATGGAGCTGACTAAAGATGTGGACTCTTCAATGAGAGTGCTTAGGGGGACATGGACAGAAATGTGCACAGAGCAGGCACAAGGCCAGGAGCCAGGCAGCCAGCTCACAGGGATCAAAACAACATCATGGTACAACTTGTGGTAATGTGTCAGTGGGCAACAAAGTTTATATTTTCATTTAGGTTCTATTCACAATGTGCTTTGAATTTATTTTACATAATAGCCACTTGAAACTGGAGTGAGAAGCTGGTTACTTGCTTGCAGTACTTCAAAATTCTTAGGTGTTAAATCTTCCTAGGGTGCTCTCTGCAGGTTCATTCTGCCCACTAGGTCAAAAAAAGGACTTTTTTTTTTTTTTTTTTTTTTAAATCAAAAATCTAGAATCACCTGTTAATGGTCTAGATGAAAACACAGCTCCATGCCAGTGTGTTGGCGCCCTGACACTGCTAGCCCCTTCCTCTGTGAGGCTGGGTCTGCCTCTGTCAGCGCCATCAGCCCTCATCCATCTGCTGGGACACCTAAAGATATGCACTTGCAGACCAGTTATTTAAAAAAAAAAAAAAAAAAAAAAGTAGCATAGTTCCCTTAATTTAGAAAAACTTACTATATATAGCTTGCATTCAGAGCCACATGGAGGCTTAATAAAAAATATCAATTTGTTAGGATAAATGCATTTTTCTACCCTGAAAAAAATCAGACTTATGCATCACCTCCAGTTAAGCACCAACCTAAAATAAGGTTTATATTAATTAAATCCTGAAAAATAGATTTTTTTTCAAGAGTGGGAGAATCCGACTCACAGAAGAAAAATAACTTGCAGGCATCCCATGGGCCTCACAGACACTGCAAGCTCCTAACCAGCGACTCATTCTTGTACTGAGTGGGAAGAGTTTTGTTTGTGGTTAATACAGCTCTTTGCGACCCCTCCCAGGCATACAGTTTTCACTGAGGAGACTTTGGGGGAGTGTTCTGTTCTCTGTTGAGACGCTTCCCGACAGCTGGGGGTGAGGGTCGGCGCCCTGGCTGTCTCCTCTGGTCTTTGGGGGCTCCAGGAGTGGACTTGGGGGCAGAAGGCTCCCTGTATCTCTCCATGGGCTCAGCGAGCTTCTTTTCCTCCTTCCCACAACCAACAGTGTTTGGCTTTTGTTCTTTTGGGGGTTGCAACGGGGAGGAAGGAGGCTCTTTACTCGTTCTCTGACAAATCTCTGCATAACTGGGTTTTCGCAATTCCTGGAAACAGACAAGTGTGAAATTACATGTACAAAATGGCATCTTCAAGGATGACATGGGAAATCAAGTTAAAGTAAAAAGAAAGTTTCAATTATAAGTAAATTTTCATCTTTACAAGTGCTTTTACTTTTATAAAATGGGTAAAATTAGAAAAGGTATAGCAATGAAGTGTGAACCAAATGTGCCCAAAGTCTGTCCACTGTGCAGCCTTTAAGTGTTCCTGGGCAATGTGGAAGCCTAAGAAGAGGCCTAAGGGGGAAAAAATGATGTTTCAAGAAAAAGACACCAACACTACTTCCTTCAGCACAGAGGCAGAACTTTCCAAGGTGCTCACAAGGGGGGAGCCCAGCTGTCATACATACAGCAGCCCTCGCAACTTTTTTTTTTTTAAACACATTTCAAATTAGAGGGCAGGAAATATAAGCTTAAGAACAAGGAAGATAAAAGCGAAAACTTTAACTTCCAAATCTAAACAGCTCACCCAAGCCCAAACTGAGAATGACTAAAGTCAGAGTAAGAAAGGCTATTCTCACCAAAAATAAATCTACCAGACAGGAAGGAAGAGCAACTGGAATCCAGAATGAAGATCTGCTAGACCCATAGGGTAAGAGCTCATCCATTTTTTTCTTTCTAGTTACTCTGCCGCCCCTCTTTTTTGGTACTAGAACACAGGGGAGCTTTACCACTGAGCTACATCCATAGTCCTTTTAATTTTTAAGGCACCAAGTTGCCTGGCTTGGCCTTGAACTTGCAATTCTTCTGCTTCAGGTACACAAGTAGCCGGAATTACAGGTGTGTGCAGCTAAACTTGGAATATTCTTCTTAGTTTTTTATCACAGAGTAAATGCTAAACTGATCAAAATTTCTATAGAAGAACAGGAGTTGGGGAGTATTGTTACTACTCAAGAAACCTCTATCAATCCACACTGTATTTTGTACAGAAAACAATACACACAGATACACATAAAAAAAAAAAATCACATTAGATTGGATTAAAGTGAGCTGACGGCTGTGGCTCAGTGGCAGAGCACTTTCCTAGCACTGGGTTCATTCCTTAGCACCACATAGAAAAATAAACAAATGAAATAAAGGCAGGCTGTCCATCTACAACTATAAATTTAAAAAAAAATGTGCCTACATTACAAAGGAAAATTTAAATTAAAAAACAAACAACAACAACAAAAATCGAGCAGGAGGGCAGTGCTGTGACTTTTTGTCACACTAGAGTCTCTGTGACTGTTGGGGGAAAAAGACAAGAGCAAATACTTACAGTGGCAGCTCCGTTCACTTGCACTGATTTACATGCAGTTGTAGTAAGGGAAGAAGGGAGTCTGTCCACGCTGTGGGTTTCCCTCTGCTTTTCTACCACCTTGGGATCCCTGTAAAAAATGTCAGCCAGTATGTGAATTTGATGTGACATTACAGGTCACTCAAATTAGTAAACCGCACACTGTCAGTAGAACATTAATACTCACTCGGGTAAATGGGCTGGGGAAGGGGTTCGTTCATACGTTGCTGATACAGCACAGGAAGCTGGCACTGAGGGCTCTCTAGGGACCACTACAGGAATAGTGTTCGTACTTGCATCTGCATTGAGGCTCTGAAAATCACCAGAATAACAGTTTAAGAGGCTAAAGCAGCAAAGGAGGTAAGGATCTATGAATTAATACAAGCACAGAAAGCCCAAATGCGCCTGCAGAGCCTGGTTCCTGTTTTCCTGTCAGAGATACAAGCAGAGCTGAATGCCGAATACAGTTGTGTGTTCATCCTATCCCAGGAACAGAATGAGAATAACAATCCCCCCCCCCCCCATCCTCTGGGGCTGAAACACAGTCAAATCACAGTGTAAGGACAGAGCAGATGGTTCTCTCCAGCAAAACTGTCAAAAAAGGTTCCAAGTTTTTCCTCTGCCTATAGAGCACTCATCCCTCTTCTCAGCAAATGCAGAAACTGGTCTAGTGTCCTGGGCTCTCTTCTGTAGTCCCATGATAATTATCTGCAAGCTTATTTTCTCGACTGAATAGCTATTAAACACCTCTTACTCATTTGACACTTGAGGACTCACCTCAGCCTGGCATCTAACAAGCTCTCAAAGTCTGCTAAGTGTAGAGCTCCTAACACAGATAAATATGACTCATTCTTGTAACATATGAAAATGCATTTGAGTACTTTGTGGTAAGTGGTAGGTACTCACAGGAGTCCTCACTTGAGTTCACAAACAACCTGGGGAAGCAGATGTGTTAATGTTCCCAGTTTAACAGGTGAGGAAACTGAGGCCTAGAACATTCAAATTAATTTGTCTAAGGCCACAAAGCAAAGAACTAAATGAATCCAGATCTTCTTACTCCAGTTAGCAACTCCTGTGCAGCAACTATTTCATACAAATTCAATCTTATTCATGTTGTACATAATGACATACTTGTTAGGTAATTTAAGAAAGGCAACAGGACAAATAAACAATTGGCAGAACTGAGGAAAGCTAAGGCTTCCTTTTTGTAAAGGATACTTAAATTCAAGATATGTTCAGCCTTGATGTCACTCAACAAAGACATACTACTGAGCTTGGAAAGAGCCAGAGTGACGCTCACAAGCCCCACATCAATAAAGGAGGGGTTGAACTGTCTAACCTCTGAAGTCCTTCTCTGCAGCTCTAAAATCTGAGTATCCAAATAAATGCAAGAAGCTGTTAGAGATGTACCCCTAAGCAGGAATAATACAGACCATATCCCCTGGCCATGCAATCAGGCTCCTATTTTCGTCAGGTAGTGATTTTTTTTTCCTCAAGAGAAATGTTACAGAGAAACTCAAAACTCACAAAGCAGTAGCTACTGTTTCTGAAGCCAGGGTGGAGCATGCCTGTTCTCTCTTACCCATCCTCTGGGGGAGCAGGCCACGTTTGAAAATCAGTGGTTAGGGCTATTAAACTGCACCAATTCTCTAATGTTTACTATAAGATCTAGAACTCTGTAATACACACAACCTCCAGGGTTAAAAACAGGAGAAATTATCACTTACCAATATGCAAAGGACTAAGCAATTTCACCTGATCTTAGTCTCAAGATACTGCAGCAAAATCCAGTTTATATTCTGCCCTAGTAAATGAGGAACATTCACGTCCACTACAGTGGTTCTTAATGTGGGATGTGGAATGGTTCCTGCCCCCAAATCCAGAGGCCATGGAAATTCTGCTGTCAGGTGACAGCAGAAAAGGTGGTGGTAGTGGATTACACTGGACAAAGATACACGGGCGATTCTGATTTGGTGAGAACTGTGGCCACTCCTTGTGGGGCACACACACAATTAACAGATGGGGAGAAAGCGGTTTCTTTGTAACTTTTACAGCCTTAAAACACTGATTCTGCAGTAGGACAAATCCCTACATTAGAATGTAGCAGGAGCGCCAGGAGGGAAGCTCTTTTGACCTAGGTAGCTGAGGCTGATCCTTGGGGTGCTAATTCCTGGCACCTTGTATGGTGGCCTACAGTGTCACCCAAATCTACTACATTATAGCAAAGTTACTCCAAGCTTCTTGCTACTTGTCCCATSGAGATTATTAGAAACTGTTACTTCTAGTAAATTCAGATTTTTCTATTTCATCCTGTTGTCCTGTGAAATAAAGGGGATCAAAATGACAATAAGGAAAATGCAACCTAGGTTTCCAGTGACAGTCTGTATAGCACACCATGCACAGGTTCTACCTCTGACATCAGCAGATGGCAGAGTCACACATACCCTGGCCCTGGGTGCAACACTAACAACACTGTGTGTACTTTGCAAATCACTCAACCTCTCCAAACCTCACACGAGGATTTAAAAATAAATAAATAAATAAATAGAAATAATAGTGTAAAGAGCTTGGCAAAGTTCCAGGCACAATCAGTGCTCAGTGTATGTCAGTAACTGTTTGACTTGTAACGTCTTACTCTTTCTTTTGATGGTCCTATGATCAAGCTAGATAGCCTGTTTTCAAACAAGTCCTCTGTCTTCAAATTGCCAGCAGCTCCAGGTAATGGAGGAAAGTTGGACAGTCCCAGTTCAAAGCTTGGTGATGGAGGCTTTGGTGGTGTTGGAGACTGAGTCTGGCTGCTCTGAAACAGAACAACACCCCACAAAGTCACACGAGTGTGAAGAAAGAACACACAAGAGTAAGGCAAAGAATATTTGGATTAAACATCTGTCTGAAAAAAGTCTGCAAACAATGAACAATAATTCCTGGAGTGTACCAAACTTGTAAGGGCCAACATTTCCCAGAAACTTATAACAACAGGATTATTCCCTATGAGAGCAGAATCCAGAAGAAATATGTCAGAACTCGAGTAAAAGCAGATTAAAGGATGAACATAGATCTAAGCTAAAAGAATACAACTATTTTGGGCAATCCTTAAGTGGTAGAAGTGCCCACTTTTACCTGATTATGTTCTCTCAGAACCAGACTTATACTTAATTGGTTTTTCTTTTTTAAAATAATACTTTAGTTGTAGATTAACACAATACCTCTATTTATTTTTATGTGTTCTGAGGATCAAACCCAGTGCCTCATTTGCATTAGGCGAGCACCCTACAACTGAGCCACAACTCCAGCCCCTTAGATTTCTACTTATTAACCACTTGCATGCTCCCTACGATCTAGTAAWATGAACACAGTGCTCAAAATAATCCAGCAAAGTTCTAAGTTACACACACAGACACTGAGACCTCAAAGCAAGTTTTTTTTTTTTGAACCAGGGATTAAATCCAGGAGCATTTTACAACATCTCTAGCCCTTTTTGTTTTTATATTGAAAGAGTCTTACTAAATTGCTTAGGGCCTTGCTAAGGTGTTGAGACTAGCCTTGAACTTTTGATTCTCCTGCCTCACCTCCCAAGCTGCTAGGACCATAGGTTATGTGCCACTGTGCCTGGTATTCAAACCAGTTTTAGAGGTTTAAAAACACCTACGTGTTTCTCAGATGAATGCCATTTCAAAGAATAAGCATTTTTGAGTCTTCACAAAAAAGTTACTAAATCTTAATTTTTAGGGGCAAGAGAAGACAGTATGTTGGAATTACAAAGTGATTAGGACTTGACTTTGAAGGCAGAGTTTAGGATTTGAATGCCTATGGCTGAGGTAAAACTGCTGTTCCTGGTTGGGCTCAAATGTTCACATATTTGTACCTGTCTGTAAATTAAAGTATGCAGTTACAATTGGTGTATTCTCTACAATAAATGTAACACATGAGTTATATTCCTGAATTTGTGATTAACAAGTATGAACACATCAATCAGGAAAACAAATGAACCAGAAGTGGAATGAAAATGCTTCAGAGCAAGAGTGTAGAATATTTCATAATGGATAGGCAGATGACACTCTTGTTAGTCTAACTGGCCATAGACATTCACTAATTACAAATGTAACTAACCACCATGAACTGCCTTGCCAAAGGATTAGCCAAAAACTAGACTGACCTTATTACCGGGAGAATTTCCGAGTTCTATAAGAGAATGTATCTTCTGTGATGATAAAGCAAACACACAATGGCTAAGGGGGCTGAACCAAGAATTTTCTCAAGGTTTTTTTTCTAGTTCTCCAAGTGTGGAATTCTGTTATCTACAAGTCCACTGGATATCTTCCTTATATGTCTTTATATACAATGGTTTTGCTACAATATTCTCCTATCACTGGGGTTGAAAAGTCCCAGCTTCCACGTTGAATCCCAGAACAAATATATTCCACAGGACAGACTCTGTCTAATCCATTTAAGCAAATTGACCACATCTCATATACTTACCACACATAAGAACTGATACTTAATTGGGGATCTGTCCTGTCAATTATAGCAGAAGGCAATGATGTTTTACATATACTGTGTAGATGACAAAATGTTTTGAATGAAAAGAACTGATGAACAAATGTCTATACTGAATCTTATTTTACTTGTTTAAGGGCTCTAATTACAGCAGTACCTCCTTACTGATGATTTTATGTTCCAGTTTCCATTACCTGTGGTCCAAAATATTAAAGAAAATTTCAGAAAAAAAAATCCGTAAGTTTTAGACTGTGTCATATTGAGTAACATGATGAAATCTTGCACTGTCCTGCTCTGACCTGCTTGGGACACGAACCATTACTTTGCCAAGTGTATTCATACTGTATATGCAACCTACTCCTTAGTCACTTAGCAGCCATCTTTATTATCCCAGATGGACTGTGGTATTGTGGTGCTTATGTTCAAAGGACACTTATTTTACTTAATGGCTCCAAAGTTTTAGACAGTGATGGTGCCAATTTGGTTAAGCCACAAAATGCTTCTCTTAAAAATAAAATTGCATGCTGTGGTTGCTAAGATCAACAGTAAGAGTAAATCTGCTATCTATGAAATTGAGAAGAAAAAAGAAATTCATACTAATTTTGCTATTGCACCACAAACTGCAAAATTACAACCACAATGTGTGTTAAGAGCTTAGTTAAGATAGAAATGGCACTAAATTATAGGTTTCATTATTATCCAAAGGCTCAGGCATCCACTGGGAGTCTTGTGATGTTTCCCTAAGGATCAGGGAGGGAGCTACTTTGTTCTAAATTCTACAATTAATTTATTCACACTGGGAACGTGCCTGACACACATGTGTAGACCACAGTATGTTTAAGAATCAGCCTTTGGCTGCACCTACTCCACAGTGTGCATATCTATATACTACAGAATAACAAAACAGTTAGCAATCTATATTTTTTAAAACTCCACAATTTTTTAGGCCACCAAAAACACTGGTTATTCCTTGTAGATATCACCTTAAAAGAAAAACTTTTCTGAAAGGTTCCCTCTCATTTGAAGCCTTAACTCATTTGATTACCTGTCATGTTTATTTAGTATTAATGTCTTGTGAAAATGACATATGCTTGATATACTCACTGTAAACTTCTCCTCTCTTTTCTTCCGATAGCCGAAGGAATTTTTCCTAGAGGAATGGAAAGCAAAAAAGGCTATTTTTTCCCCATTTGGAAAATTTACTGAGCATGTATTTATACTTACATATTCAAAGAATGCATCAACCAGACTTAATTATTTTGTAATCTTTCAAAGATGAATTTTGACTCTAAAAGCCCCACTTTTAAAAGGATAAACAAAATAACAACAAGTGTGTAGTAAAGGATTAAAATTGATATCTGGAAAGCTAAACATTAAAAGGTATAAAAATATGTTTTAAAATAATTTACCTAGTGTCTGCTTAAAACTTTTGTTAAGATACAAATCCACTCAGCTGGAATGACAAGATGTATATATAATGTCTGACATTCTAAATGTAGAAGAAATTCATCAAATGCATATTTGCTTATCATCGAAATTTCAAACACCCCAGATAACCTGTCCCACTCTCCCTCCCTCATACCTCTCTTCTGCTTCAATGACTTCCCTTACCACAAAAAACACACAAGGCTATCTAAATCCCAAGAGTTTTCTCTCCCTACCTGTGTGTTGTATGAAGAGCGTTCTAGATTCCTAGCATTCAAAATTAGATTCCTGCATGCAGCAAGGCTATGCTAGGCAGCACTGCAGCTTATAAATGCATAAACAAACATTTATTAAGTAGTAACATCATGTAAGGTCTTGAGAACACTAAGATGGCTAAGACATTCCCACTGCCCTGGAAAGATTTGTGGTTTAACAAGACACAAATGAATTTCAGTTTATGATTTTATTTTTATTCATTTAYCTTTTTTTATCTTTTCAACTGATTACAAATTCTTCCCCAAAGATCTTAAAAATAACCTTACTTCCTTTATTTACAGAAAACCAAAAAGTGGTCTTACCTAAGATGGCATTATTAATTAGAAGGATAAGCTTGAAACCTCACTTTCTGTATCAAATAGGGACACTCTATGGACCCTGTGGGGGATAGCCCCTTTTGGAGAAGTACAACAAACATTTTAGGATTCTGGATCAAAGCGAGGCCATCTTTAGTAGAAAATATACTCTCTCCTTCTACAAAAACCTAATCCAGAATAGTTTCTGTCTGTCTACTGGGCCCTAGTAGAGATTAAACTCCTGAATATGGAACTAGTGACCACTGACTTTTGAGCCATCCATCATGGGTAGGGCATGGATGCAGCAATCCACCATCCTGCAGGAACAGGGAGTACGGCCCTCAACCAACAGTCCTTCCTTGCCCTCAATCCACACCCTGACCTCCAAAGGAGCTACAGATCTGGCTGGATGAGAGATGCAAGGAACAGGAATGAGATAATCTCAAAAGAGGGGTGTTGGGTGAACAGTGTGAGCAGTTGCTGCTGAAAAGACATGACTGCAGGAACCCATGTGGGGACAGCCCTTTACCATGGGTGGCTAGCTCATCACCACTGTGGTGTCTGACCACAGTAGCTCCTTCATACTGGAACAGAAGCAGTGTCCTGGAGGTCAATCTGACTGCATTGGGATCCGTCAGCAGCATAATCAGTGGCCCTCACAAAATGCTCTCCTTGCCTTCACAGCACTTCACTAATACACTAGAAACCTACTGACATACTGGGACCATGTGACAATAGTCCAAGCTGAATTCTGCTGGCTAATCGCCCATCACTCAGAATGTGAATAGCTGAGTGAAGACAGAGCTACAGGCCTGAGATGGGTTCTAATTCACAACCACAAAGTGTGACCCAGTGTGGCTCTATAACCAGAGGTGTGGTTGCAGCATCATGGAGAATCACTGTTATACCAGAGTTGGTGCTTCTCATTCCCACAACTTTGAATGCTGGTGGTTTGCATGTCTTAGACCTCAAACACAAAAGCTTCTRTCACGTGAAACATCATGGTTCCAGAGACAAAACCTTAGACCGCCACCTGGCATTGAACCTGGCTGGGGTGACAAAAACTACGGGTAGCTGCTGTGCATGAAGATAGGAAGAGCATGACTGGACCCACGGGGGGCTCTTTGGAAGCCTCTTAGTGCTTCAGTACAACAGAAAATGTTAATGAAAAAACAAACCAACCCACCAAGGAGGCATAAGGGTGCCATGACCACCGTGGATCAGGTCCTTCAGGAAGGAAAGCCTGGATCACCCTGCTGAAGGGCCAATGGGCACTCAATTCTCTCTCTGAAGACAGCACATAATGCAAAAAGAAAGAAGGAAATCACATGCTTCACCTTTACTTCATAGCCCACTTCCGAAACAAGGACTACGGAGGCTCTTTGTACCTTCACTGGCTTAAAAAACAAAAACAAAAACAAAAAACCGACTGTARGAACTATGCTGCCATCCCTGGCTATTGTACTCTAATGGTGTGTGCTAGTTAAGCTCTGTTCTCTCCCCTGCATCACTGATGGCAGCTATATCCTTAGGCTGCCAATTACTTAGGTGGGAGCATGACTCCATGACTGAGAAGACGGTTGGAGTCTCCTTTTGTACAAAATCTACATTTGCAGGCAAAGGCACAGGCTTCAGAGAGTTGCCACACTAAAGTTCAAATACGGTTGGAGGATACAAATGGTGACAGTGTCTAAGAAGTAYAGGGTGTTAGTTACCTACCTTTTTAATCTACTTTGTGATGTGGCTGGGATTATGCAAATCCCCTTGTCCTTTTGCCAAGAAGCTTCTTGTTAAGCTTTTATTAATACAGAGTACTAGAGAGGCACAGGGAGGTTGGAGAGGGCACAAGAACTTGTCTTTCCAGTTTGTACTCTTTTACACATGCCCATGACTAATGGACCCTGAGAGGTACCAGCACTGAGCTAGCTAGGCAGAGCCCTGTCCCTAGAAGTCTGTGCCTAGCTCTGCAGGCTCCTTCCTTCTAAGCTTCCAAGGTCTAACAACCCCAAACTCCACCCTAAGGTTGGTAGCTCCAGCTAGCATCACTAACTCAGTATTATTCAATATTCCCCTTTCGTCTTTTCAGTCTTCAAAACCTGATGAACCAAATGTGTATCAAAACAGCTGTTGTTTATTTTCCTGACTTATACTCAGTCCAATGCCAGTTCTACTAAACCATGCTGCCTGTGGCCACTCTTACAATCTCACCACCAGCTTCACAGATGCTGATTTAATCAGTACAGATTGGAGTTAAGGAGGGATCCAGAAGCAGCTAATCCTATTTGCTTCTGGATTTCTCTTTAACTCCAAACTGCACCAAAAGCACATACAGGCACAACTCATTTTATTGTGTTAACCTCTTATTCTTTTTCAGACACTGTTTTTTTTTTTTTTTTTTTTTTTTTTTAAATAGCAGAAGGTTTTGTGACAATCCAGGGTGAAGCAGAAGTATCAGTATAATTTCCTACAATATCATGTGCTTTCTTTGTGTCTCATTTTGTTAACTCTGAAATACTACATCTGTTATGGTGACGTGACTCTTGAGGTTATTATTGCAATTGCTTTGAGTGCCAAGATCTGCAACCACATCTCTAGCCACACTGGGTCACACTTTGTGGTTGTGAATTAGAAACCATCTCAGGCCTGTAGCTCTGTCTTCACTCAGCTATTCACATTCTGAGTGATGGGCGATTAGCCAGCAGATTTCAGCTTGGACTATTGTCACATGGTCCCAGTATATCAGAAGGTTTCTAGTGTATTAGTGAAGTGCTGTGAAGGCAAGGAGAGCATTTTGTGAGGGACACTGATCATACTGCTGACAGGATCCCAGTGCAGTCGGTGGTACAGCATTTGCCTATATAATTGATAAATGTGTCCTGGTGGCTCCACCAATCATTACTCCTCTCCTTAGGCCTCCTGACTACCAAGAATATTGAAATTAATAGAAATTAACCCTACTATGGCCTTCAAATATTTAAGCGAAAGAACGAGTTACACATCTATTGCTTTTAATCAAAAGCTAGAAACAAAAAAGCATAGCAAGGAAAGCCTATCGAAAAGCTATAACTGGCTGAAAGCCAAGGTATGAATGCAAAAGAAAAAAATTCTTGAAGGAAATAAAAGTACACGTGTATCATAATTGGACAAAAGAGCCTTATGGTTGATATGGAAAAGTTTTAGTGGTCTGGGGAGAAGATCAAACAATGTTCCTTTAATAAAAACCCTAATCCAGAGATGAACTCTAGGTAGGCTGAGAGGGGTGAGAAAGCTGAAGAAAAGTTTGAAGCTAGCAAAGGATGGCTCAGGAAGCTTGAAGAAAGAAATCTTCTCCATAACATCACAGTGCAGGTGAAGCAGCAAGTGCTGATGGAAAAGCTGCAGCAGGTGACCCAGGAGATAAGCTAGGATGGCTGACAAATGTGGCTGCACTCAGTGATGGGTTTTCAGGGTAGATGAAACAGCCTTCTACTGGAAAATGCTGCCATCTAGATAGAGAAAAGTCAATGTCTGGTTTTAAAGGATAGGCTGATTCTGTGTAGGGGATGGGCAGCTGATGACTTCAACTTGAAGCCAGTGTTCATTTACCATTCTGAAAATCTCAGAGCCCTGAGAAATTACAGTAACTCTACTCTAATTGTGCTCTATAAATGCTACAACAAAACCTGTAAACAACATGGCTTACTGAATATTTTAAGTCCACCAGTGAGATCTACTGCTTGGGGCGGGGGAAGACTCCATTCAAAATATTATTGATTCATTGGCATTGCAGATTAATGTAGTTTTCAAGCCTACTAACACAACATTCATTATGCAGTCCATAGATCAAGGAGCAATTTCAACTTTTAAGGTCTCTAAGACATACATTTCATAAGGGAACAGATACCACAGGTTATGATTCCTCTGATGATATGGGAAAAGTAAACTAAAAACCTGGAAAGGAATCTAGATGCCATGAAGAACCTTTGTGATTCAAAGGATGGGACCAAGACATCAACATTTACAAAGTTTGGAAAAAGCTGATTCCAACTTTCATTGTTGACTTTAAAATGCTCAAGAGTTCAGTGAAGGGCATAACTAGAAGATTTAGTGGAAATAGCAAGAAAACTAAATTAGAAATGTAGCCGGAATTGCTGTAATCTCATGACCTAACTTTAATGAACAGTGGTAGGTCCTATGGATGAGCATAAAAGGTGGTTTCTTAAAATGGAATCTAATCCTAGTAAAGGTCTTCTGAATATTGTTAAGAAGAAAAAGACTTATATTATTACATAAACTAGGTAATAAAACAATAGCAGGGTTTGAGAGGATTGACTTCAAATCTGAAAGACATTCTGTTGTTGTTGTAAAACAGCATAAGCAAAGAGTCAATCAAGAGGCTGGAGCTCAGCAGTGGTGACTTGCCTTGCACAGGTGAGGCACTGGGTTCAACCCTCAGCATCACATAAAACTAAATAAAGATATTGTGCTCATCTACAACTTTATACACACACACAATTTACTTATATATATTATATATTATTTACTTTATATATATATTTTTTGTGATCTCTCTCTCTCTCTCTCTCTCTCTCTCTCTCTCTCTCTTTTATATATATAAAGTCAATCAACATGGCAAGAGTTTTAGTTTTGTTAGTTTAAGAAACTGCAACACGGGCTAGGGTTGTGGCTCAGTGTAGAGTACTTGCCTAGCACGTGTGAGGCACTGGGTTTGGTCCTCAGCACATTAAAAAAAAAATGAATAAATAAAGTCATTATGTCCATCTACAACTAAAAATATTAAAAATAAAAWTAAAAACTGTAAGAACCACCCCAGCTTTTAGCAACCCTAATCACTTACCAGTCATCAATATGGAGGAAACATCCTCCACCAGCAAAAAGATTGGAATTTTAGTTAAAGGCTCAGATGATTATTATTAAGCAAAACAGTGTTTATTTAATTTTTTTCAGTTGTAGTTGGACAAATATTTTATTTTATTTATTTTTATGTGGTTGATCAAATCCAGGGCCTCACATGTGCTAGGCAAGCGCTCTACCGCTGAGCCACAACCTCAGCCCCCAAAACAGTATTTTTAAATTAAGGTATATACATTATTTTTTTTAAGACAGATGGTACTGCACTCTTACTATACTACTAGAGCATGGGGTAAATATAACTTTTATATGTACTAGAAAATCAATAAAATGTTTGTGACTCACTTCGTTGCAATTTTTGCTTTACTGCAGTAGCATGTAACCAAACCTGCAATATCTTGGAGCTGTGCCTTTACTGTACCAGGAAGAAATAGGAACCAACACTTTTAGAGCTTCTGTATGTCAGTCATTGTACTATAAACTTTGTTTAGGAAAACCATAGAAACATCTTCACTTAAAACTTTTCAAGGTAGGTTAAAAGAAAAGGCTCAGGGTTGGGGTTGTAGCTCAGTGGTAGAGCACTTGCCTTGCATGTGTGAGGCCCTGGGTTCTATCCTCAGCACCACATATAAATAAATAAATAAATAAAATAAAGGTATTGTGTTTATCTACAACTAAAAAATATTTCTAAAAAAGAAAAAGAAAGGCTCAGGAAGGATGAATTGCTTGCTCATCATTCATCAGAAAAGAATCATGATAGTCCCTATCAAATTAGCAACTAAGGAGATGAATTGCCCTACGTAATACTATATAGGAGGCAAACTCCAGGCTCCACCTTCACCTTCTCTAACCTCACCTCTCCATAAAGGGAAGTATGTATATGTAAAAAGAACGAGAGAGAGAGAGAGAGAGAGAGAGAGAGAGAGAGAGAGAGAGAGAGAGATATATCAAGCGATATCATGCAAACAGGGAGAAGGAAGCGGTTTCATTCATGATGCATGGTAAGAGTCCCAGGTAATGAAAAGATACTGAGGCACCAAGAGCATGAGACTACTTGTCCCAGTATGAAAATGTATGATAGACAGACATCACTTCACCATGACAGCTTCTCTTGATAGTTAAATTTAGTAGGAATACAATTTAAATGCTGGTTTGCTTAAATATCAAACTCTAGTATGTGTCAACTCTAAGCCACTGCTAGGTGGAAAGGGAACAATCAAGAAGCCCATGGGACAAAGACAACAACCACAGTGAGACTGCAGGCATACAGTTGGAGTCTGAGAACTGCAGAGCTCTAAACTCCCTACAAGTGATGACTGCAACCTAGAAGAGTTCAATTCCATCTGCAGTTCTCATGGAATAAAATTTCATACTACACATATACACACACAAACCATTTAAATCCTCTGCTCTAAAGGTTAACAATTATTGCAGCAAGTATACAAACCTTTAATATTTATAGTTTTCAATTTAATTTTCTGAGATATAGAAAATAATTATAAAACATCTATATTTAAGAAATTTTAAAATATTAATATTTTAAGATATAATAAAAAGGACAAAACCCAGGTGTGCTCTATATCACCAGTCCTCTTAAAGTTTAAAAACAACAACAAAAAAAACCATTTTAAGACAGTGTCTTGCTACACTGCCCAGGCTGACCTTGAACTTGTGATCCTCCTCCATCAGCCTCTGAAGTAGCTGGGACAGGAAGTACCAGTGGTATGCCACCAAGCCTCGCTGACACACAGTATCTTTTCAGCATCATATGTAACGACTTACCTTCCTCTCCCTAAACCAGGAGAGGATTCAAGACTACTTGGCTCCACACGCCCAGTTCCAATCTCTCTCTTGGCATAAGCTGAAGGATTTTGTATTCGAGTTCTAGTTTGCCCTGTTTGCCTTGTCTGTGGGCTTCGAACACCATTAATTAACCGATCTGCGGTGAAGTTAAATATTGTTGGACTTTCCAGTAGTCCAGGTCCTCTCTCTGCACTAGGAATTGCATGGCGCAGATGAGATTTACTAGGATTCCTGTAAATGGAATGTTTGTACATGCTGAGTTATAAAAAAAGGCATTATTTAACAAGCATTTAAAGCCAAACAGCTAAGCTAAAATCTGTTCTCTACTTAACAAATACAAAAAATGTTATTTGGAACAGTTAATGTACAATACACACACACACAGTATAATGTAATCATGTGCCAAGGCCCTGCTCTGCTCTAAGTCCAGGACAAAGTTAAAAAGCAGGCACACTTGGCACAGTTATTTCAAAGGCCTTCTCTGAAGACAATCTATTCCTTTATGCAGGCAACCAATTTTGGTGTTTAATCTTTGCAGACTGTAGCTGAATATTTTCATTAGTTTTATTTCTGATGAGCATTTCTAGTGGTCAAATTTACCCCTTAACATATAAGGCAAATATACCTTTCTTACTTTAAAAAAAAAAAAATCAGTTAACATGAAGCTCATAAGCGTCTGAATCATGCGTGGAACTTGCCTGCTTCTAGGAGGATACTGTCTAAGTGAAGTCAGAGGAGATGCTGCAGGTTTGAAGGTTGGAGACGTAAACCCATTTATAAATCCAGTATTTGGAAATGGAGTTACCTAAATTAATTAACAAACAAAAAAAGTAAACATGTCATGAAGTTAACTTCAATTTGGTTTATATTATCATATCTTGAGGCAACCGAGGTCACTTCTTCCTGTTGTCAGAGATGGTAAGTAAGTTCCATATTATATTTAAAAATAATTGTGGACTAAGAAAAGCATCTTGCAAGACTATTACCAAAGGCTGATATTTATTGAGTGCTCACAACAATTAGACTGGTGCTAAGAACTTTTTCTGCATCATCTCAGTTTATGTTTATGAGAATTTAATGAGGAAGACAATTCACACATGTAAAACTGACACTAGGTGAGGACAGAACCTTATCCAAGATCACTTGTCTTAGACACAGACATTACCTGAAAACATCCAAATGCTTGACCTAAGGGTTAATAATAATAATACTACCTCCAATCCTAGCAAGAAGTAAACAATTCTTTCCTCCCCAAAATCTTATAATCAAATTTCTCAATCTTAGGAGCATTCATATACTTACTCTAATTTTGCTTACTTCATTATCACAGCCCTTGAGAGTACAATTTTTTAACCTTTACCTCCATGCAAGTCTTGCTCTGAAGAGCAGCATATTTTCAGATCCTTAATAATTATTCCTCAAGTCACAATTTAAGGTAACACCTGACATATTAATATACTGACGTAAAACTCAGAAGACAATTATAAAGAGTCTATTCATAGAGCCCTTTACAGATAAAATCTTAAATATAATCCTAAAAGGTTAAAAATATTAATCACAGATTTTTAAACATAACCCAATTATTCAAATATCTGATTTGAATACACAAAAATAAGATAAAACTTACTGTTGAAATAGTTCTTCAAAAGAAAAAAGAATAACGGATAAAAAGAGATCACTAACTTTCTGGCGCCATTGCACCTGGCTCCCATTCTTAAAAAATTTCACTGAACTGACTGAAATATGCAGAGCCCCTTCCATGTTTGATAAAAAGGGAAACAGAAAAGAAAAAGAACAAATGATTTTCTCTAGAGCTAACTGAAGTTGTAAGAGAAAAAGGGTATTACAGATAGTTTATCACTTACTGATTTAAAGAAAAATGCAACAAGAGAAATACTTAAAACTTATAAAGTAGAATCACTACTTGAAAAATTCTTCAATCAATAAGATTGACTATTTAAACAACTATTTAAAAACATATCATTCCAGCTGGGCATGGTGGCACACAGGAAAAAAACGATTGGATTGTGAGTCTTAACCACCAGTGAATTAATCCCTAATGGGATTAACTGAGTGGTGACTTGAGACAGATAGGGTATGGCTGGAGGAAGTGGTTAACTGGGGGTGGGGCTACGGAGTATATATTTTGTATCCAGAGCTGGAGTCTCTCTCCTCTTCCTGATGTGAGCTGCTTCCCTCTGCCACTCTCCTGCCATGATGTTCAGCCCCGCCTCCAGCCCCAGGAGTATTGTGAGCCCTCAAAGAAACTTTTCCTCCTCATAGTTGCTTTAGTCATAGCATTGAAAAAGCTAACTAAAACAGCCAGCCTCAGCAAAAGTGAAGCACTAAGCAACTCAGTGACACCCTATCTCTAAATAAAATACAAAATAGGGCTGGGGATGTGGCTCAGTGGTCAAGTACCCCTGAGTTCAATCCCTCATACCCACCACCCAAAAACAAAACAAAAAGATATCATTCCAGAATAGGTAGATTTTAGAGATTTTAAATCATAGGGAGACCAGTAAAGACTAATTATTTGACATATGTAATTTTACACATGGAACTCTGGTATTTTGAGTAATTTTGCTTAGGAGCCTAAAATAAAACAGATTAACAAAATAATTTAATAGTTTTAATTTAATAAAATAATTTTGTTTCATAACTTGCTGAGAATTACCAGGCACCATCTCTTTTCTTTTGCTCCAGTGACACAATGTTTCAGAGCAAGTAAAAGAGTACTGGTAAAAGGACTGAGCTCACATACTGTGCACAATCCACATTGCCATCTTTAAAAAAGCAACCTGAGTGGAAAACACCAGTCAAGACCATAAATGACCTAGGATTTCCAAGAAGGTCCAGTCCAGATGCAGATGAATATAACTAAAGAAAGGGAGTGACTACAGGAAGAACTGAGTCTGACAAGCATGGTGTTGGCCACATTTGGGGAGGACTTAGGGAGAGTCTAAGCAGTGTAGTTCCTCTAAGGTTCTTTTTTGATATATTTTTTTGGGGGGTAGGGGGAGAACAACTATATATCTATTTTATAGACGCAGCCATATTTTAAAAAGTAGTGCATCTTTTTTCCATTAGGATTCATTCTAAAAAGAAGTAACTTTGAATTTTAGCCACTTGCATAAACATTCTTTTGCTGCAGAAGTTCTAGAATTTGGGGGGCTAACAGGCCGACCCCTCTRAGACCCTCTTCTCATAAATTAACTATCCTTGTATATCCTTTACAGGTTGTAAAAGCTATTTTCTAAATGGAGTATGATTTCATTTCCCTTGCTTAGAACCATAGATGACTTCCCAGAAGGTCAAAGTCCACATGCTTCAGGACACTATGTAAGAACACTCTAGTTTGGCATGATTACTTATCAGCCTTGCTTCCCAGGTTCCTGAGCCCAGACTATACTTTTGCTCAGAAAAAATCTGGTCCATAGTAATTTGCATGCTTTTGTGCATGTTTTTTGTTCTTGAAGCTTCCTTATCTTTGACCCCTTTTCAAAACTCATACTCAACAGAGAGGCTCAATTTAGGTGACAATATAATATCCTATAAAGTTCTTAACTGATGGTATTTTATATGTGACCTTTTTTTGCAATTATCACCTCCTTGGAAAATCTGTCTTTTCAAGACTGAGGTTTTTCCCCAATAGATCTTCATCTTTCATTATATCAGCTAGTTCCCTCTCTTTCACATGTACTCAGTTTTTCTGCCAGTAAGTGGCTCCCAGCCATCTGACCTTGAGTACTACCCAGTCTCTCCCTGACCCCGTCCACAGCCATATCCTGGATACAAATTCTTTTCAAAGTTACTAACTCAACTTTTATGTACTCTGCCGATCTACCTCTCTCATTCCAACTAAATCTGTATCCCWACCCCATGCAAACCTTCAATATAGGAACTTACCTTCTTTTTCTAACCCAGACCTCAACTTCAAGGACATTTATCACAGATTGCTGATTTTCCTGCATCCCATGCAATTAAATTCAAGCTAATTTCCAACTAGGAACAGCTGATCTTTCTAGCCATCTCTAGCTAAACTGTAACGGCCAAAGAAAAATGACTAGATCCATTACAAATTTATGAATTCTAACCACAAACCTTACCACAAGCCAGTATCTGTAAAAATTAATCATGCCAACCAACTCTGAGGCAGGTGTGAGAAGTAAAATAAAGCTCTKCAAGGGCTAGGGATGTGGTAGCGTGCTCGCCTGGCATGTGTGAGGCACTGGGTTCGATTCTCAGCACCACATAAAAATAAAGACATTGTGTCCACCTAAAACTAAAAAAATAAATATTAAAAAAAAAAACTCTGCAAGAAAGCATATATTCCACTTGTTCCAGACTAGTAGAAACTCACTTAAATACCTATCTCCTGAACAGCTCCCCCCTTGCCATTTCCCTCTATGCTCAGAGGGACATGAGTTATACCAGAGTTTTCACTGTATTCTACATTTTACAGGAGAAGAAATGCAGACTGGGCAAGGATCACAGTCACAGTGTTTCAAAGTTTTTGTGCAGATAGTTCTGACTATATCATCAAATAAATTTAAAATTCACAGCATATTGGGGCTGAGGATGTGGCTCAAGCAGTAGCGCGCTCGCCTGGCATGCATGCGGTCTGGGTTCGATCCTCAGCACCACATACAAACAAAGATATTGTGTCCGCCGAAAAACTGGAAAATAAATATTAAAAATTCTCTCTCTCTCTCTCTCCTCTCTCACTCTCTTTTAAAAAAAAAATTCACAGCATAGCCTGAAGATCTGCTTTATTACAACAAACTGCATATATATCTGATTTCTATATTAGATAAGGCATTTAAACTTTCAAAGTACCCAGTGGAGTGTCTATGTACAATATGTCTGTTTAATTAAAAAAAAAAAAAAAGACTTACCAAGGGTGGATCAAGATAGCTATGTGTTGTTGACCATGTCTGGGGGGTAATCAGGCTGTACAGAGGAAATTGTTGCTGGGGACTGTATACTGGAGGTAAATAAAATGATGTTGTATAACGCTGCTGTGTATAAAGGTTCATGTCCAGAGGTCTAAATCCATTCTTTGGCAAAAACGTGTTTATAGCTATTGCCTTTGCTTTTATCCGTGCCTGTTTGAAAATATTTAAGTTTCTATTACAATGCTTAAGAACAATGATTAGAAAACAAAGAAAATGTAATCAACTGGTCTTGCTTACCTTAATTGGCTTTCCTTGAAAAGTTTTTACTTCTTCTCGCAGGTATTTGTAAGCCTAAGGGCAAAATCATCCAAATAGTCTTATAAATAACATGAACTAATAGTTAATTCAATAGCTTAAAAAAAGGATTCTATGATAATAAACAGGAGCAATAATAATGATTCTTTATCCTCTTTGGGTCACAAATCCTTTAAAATAACCTCAGTAACTATGGAACCACTACACAAAATTCTCATAAACAAGGTATATACCAATTTTATAAGAATTGAAACCATTAAAGTCTTTCAAAGACCTAGGAGGAAATAAAGAATACTAAATACAAAGTTCCTAATATTAATCCCAATTTGAAATCGGAAACATGAAATTCAGGAAATGAAATTCTAAACAGAGGGAGAAAAGATGAAAACTAGGGTAAGGATTGTGGCTCAGAGGTAGAGCGCTCGCCTAGCATGTGTGAGGCACTGGGTTTGATCCTCAGCATCATATAAAGTAAAATAAAGACATCGTGTACATCTATAACTAAAAAATAAATATTAAAAAAGATGAAAACTAAAATATTAGAAAGTCATTATTTATGTATAGCTGTCCCTTCTCCAAATTAGATCGATATCAAGTCCCTTACGTAAGTCCAAAGGATCCACATATTCCCATTCAAGCTCATCCAACATGTTCTCCAAGCAGGTCAGCAGCACTCCGCTCTGTTCTGTAAGCATAGCGCTTCCAATTTCCCATTCCTCTTTCTCTCCTTCTATCCAGTTAAAACCTATCTTTAGCTTTCTGCATTTTCTCTTTTGGACTTCCAGTAGGGGCTGCAATATTTAATACTGAACTCTTGTTGTTTCCCTCAAACAAGAGTCTCCTTTAAGAGCAAAGAAATATAAGTCCCTTAATTCAGCATGTCTCCTTCAAGGTGCTAACACTCCTCAGTGCCTATGAAAGCACTTTATTTATAGCACAGGGAAGCCCACTGAAAGACTATGGTTAGGTTCAAATCTCTCCACACTCTGCAAACAGTAAAACCTTTCTTTACCTAGATGCAACTGATTTTCCTAAGCTGCTGATCTTACAATATTGTTAGACCATAATGTCACATGCTTTCTATATTGCTATATAAACTATCCACAGAACATCCAGTTTAGGTTTATACAACTCGATTTTGTCTGCACTTTATATCCAAACTTAACACTATGATATAATAACCTCAATGCCCAAATTTACTCTCACTTTGTACCGATATTAAATTACTGGTAAACTATGTACTTCACAGGGAGATCAAAGAGAGAACTTACCTGCTGTGCATCAGCTTCTGTTTCAAATGTAATAAACCAATTATCATTATAGGCAAATTCACAGTTTATAAATTTCGGTAAGTTATCTCCTTTAAATAGTGCTTCTACTTCCTACAGGAAGAGAGGTTAGATATTAATTCTCAACTATGCCACATTTTGTCCTCACTAAAAAAAGCATTCTCTTAAGCACAGTTCAACATGATATGATGCCTGGTAAATCTCTTTTCAAAAAAGGATAATGGGTTCAGTGCAGCTTCCAGAATTAGGACCACAATGACACAGGAACATAGTTACACAACTTATTGACAGCTTTCTTGCTTCCAAGATATCATTATGCTAAATTAATTTGAAAGATAAGATACCATTTTAACCACCAGGCTAATAATAATAAGTACATTATTTTGAAAAAAGTTAATTTAAAATCTAAAAAATATTAGCTCAATTTTTGCTGCTGGCCAAGATATGACATGATACAAACAATTATAAATGAAATTGGGTTTTCCAGCATTGGCCATCAGGCATTCTAGGAGAAGAGTCCCTGAGAGAGGGGACGTGAACAAGGTGACCCTTAGAATGTTGAGCTCATGCCTAAATTCCAGAGCTCCATGGAGGACTCTCCCCAGGTCCTCAGCTTGAGCTTAAAATACCACCTGTGATGATCAGAAGGAGTAACCCCAGACTGAGTTCATGGGCAGGGAATAATTTGCCTTCTCACCAGTCAGAGTGGAAAACTGTCCCAAATTCACAGAAAATCAGTACTCAGAAAAGCACTGCCTCAGCAGTGGGGAAAGATGAACCCCAGAGAAAAGACGGCTCTGATTCCTTCTTACTAATATTCCTAAAGGATCAAATTGGTTCAAAGTAATCGAGATGGGGTTTTGCTGTTTTGCCTAGGTTGGCAGATCACTCAAGCAATTCTGCCTAGTTGGGACAACAGGAACATGCCATCATCAAGTAATTTAACTGCATCTCAGAACCAAAATCAACAATATTTATCAGAATACAAAAATATTCAGTACCCAGTAAAGTAAAAATCAAAATGCTTGGCATTCATTCAAAAGCTAATAAGCATGTAAAGAAATAGAAAAATATGGCCTAAAATCAAACAGATCAAATTAAATCTAGAAGTGACACAATATGACAGAATTAGTAGACAAAAGCAATAAAACAGTTACTGATTATATATTTATATGCTCCAAAACCTGGGCTGAGAATGCTAAATGGAGATATGGAGGAATTTTTAAAAGACCCGAATTAGAGATGAAAAATACAATGTCTGAAATGAAAAGTCCAATAAAGAGGATTAACAGCTACTGAGATACTTTCTGAAGGAAAAAAAAAGGGAAAAGAGAGAACACATGAAAAATAATGCCTCAATAAGTACAAGAAACATGAAAGCTTTTCCAAGGTAACCTGCTATCAAATTGTTTAAAATCAGTGATAAAATCTTCAAGTCACACAGAGAAAGATGATTTATCACACACACAGGAATGAAGATTAAAAAAAAGGAAGACCATTGTCATAAACAATGCATACCAGAAGAGAACAGGATGACAACAGAAAGGGAAAAAACTTTCCCTGGTCAATCTAGAAATCTATACCCAGCAAATGGGCCTAAAATAAAAACTTTCTCAAGTATATTAAAGCTGGGGGGAGGGGATCACTAGCAGACCTGTTAACACAAGAAATTTTAAAGGACTATTCAGGCAAAAAGAAAGTGATATTAGACAGGAAGTCTAGACCCAGACAAAGGATGAGAAGCACTAGAAATGGCAAATATTAGATAAATAAAAAACATATTTTTATTATTTTTAATCTCCTTAAAAGAAAACTAAATTGTTCAAAGCAAACATAACAATGTATTGTGGGGCTTATGGCCACACAGAATTAAAGTGCAAAACAAGAGTACAGGGCTGAAGGTGCAAAGTCAGAAGAATATTATTTTAAAGAGAAATTAGTATTACATTAATCTAAGGGTACACTCTAGGAAGTTTAATGCTGATAAACCATAAAGCAAGCACTGAAAAACACGTATATCAGACTGGGGTTGTGGCTCAGTGGTAGAGCACTTGCCTAGCACATGGGAAGCCCTGGGTTTGATCCTCAGCACCACATATAAATAAATAAAAAAGGTATTGTGGGGCTGGGGATGTGGCTCAAGTGGTAGCGCACTTGCCTGGCATGTGTGCGGCCCCGGTTCGATCCTCAGCACCACATACCAACAAAGATGTTGTGTCCGCCGAGAACTAAAAAATAAATATTAAAAATTCTCTCTCTCTCCTCTCTCACTCTCTTTAAAAAAAAAAAAAAAAAGGTATTGTGTCCAACTACAGCTAAAACAACAACAAAAAAATACAAACACAACAATAACACGTATATCTAGTAAGCCAAAAAGGGGTTGGAGGATGGAAGAAAGAAAACAAAGAATAGCAGATGCAAAAAGGAAATAGTAAAATGACAAATTTAAACCCAGCAGCATCATTAATCATTTAAATATAAATGGGATACACTCATAATTAAAAGGCAAAAATTTTCAGATTGGGTAAGAAAAGCAAAACTCCACTATGCAATGCTTACCAGAAACTCATTTTAAATGTAAAAGACACAAATGGAGATGACATACCATAATAATAATAAATGAAAACTGCAGTGGCTACATTCATACCACACAAAGTAGACGCAGGAGAAAAATAAAAAGGGAAAATAGGGTCATGTCATTAAAAAATTATTAGCCAGTAAACCCTTCACAAAGTAAAGAAATTAATCAAATGACTATAAAAATTGTTTCCTAGAATTGTACACCTATTTTGATATGTAACACCTGATAAATAATTTTTGGCTAAAAGAGAAAACTAATACATTAATGCAGAAGTCATACTTGACTAACACAAGTTAGTATTACTACTTTTAAACTCAACCAATAGTCCTGTAGTACCACTAGGCTATCAATACTGTATTGGAGTGGTTCATTCTTCTGCCTCTGTGAGATTTCTCTCTAAACTATTTTATAAAAATTGGATAAACAGAAGGGTGGGAAGGGGAGGGAGGGGGCATGGGGTTAGAAATGATGGTGGAATGTGATGAACATCATTATCCAAAATACATGAAGACATGAAATGGAATGAATATACTTTGTATACAACCAGAGATATAAAAAACTGTGCTCTATGTGTGTAATATGAATTGTAATGCATTCCATTGTCATATATACATACATACGTTTTATATATATATATATATATATATAAAAACACTGGATCAAGATTTCAAATGTTCTAATCAGTGAGACGCATCTGGTTACATTTAAGGAATAGACAACTTTCTAGAAACTCCCACCCCATACTTCTAAGCATCAAGAGATGGACTCTGCATCATACAGTCCTTAGAAACTTATTTCCTATTCAAATTGTTTTGGACTACTTACTTTCCTTCTTTATTTCTCAACTTTATAATTATCACAGGGTTTCTTCCAAGCCTTCTCTCTTAATTTTGCTCAAACTTTGACAACAGATTTATTTAAGTGAGTACAGTTTTGAATACAAATGATACCAAGATCAATGTCTACAGCTAACTGTAGAAAATTCTACTCAGTTATAATTTTTATAAGCATTTCAAGTCTTGAAGAACAGGATCTATGTTTTAAATATTTTTTGAGCTAACAAAGGTATCTAGATGATGATGATGATGATAATAATAATAATAATATCATAGTCCTTCATATTCAAAACTTTACAACATACAACTAGTTTAAGTATCTTGGTGAAACAGAAAGTAAACTTTCTCTAGGAAAAAAACCTTTTTAAAAAGTAATATGATTTCTTACCCTACACCTACAACCTTTTTGGAATCCTTGTCTTTGCAACTTATTTTTCTTTCTGCTGTGCTAGGGAATCAAACCCAGAGGATCATGCATGCTAGGAAAGCATTCTATCACTGAGCTCTACCCCTAGCACCAGTGCAGCTTAGTTAACCATTTGGAGAAGTAACAGATTTTATAGCAATGCRAATCAGTCGATTTCAATATTTTAAAACTATCAAATATTATGATTTATTCCTTAAAATTACGGCCCCAAGCCACTGCTTCTCTAATGATGATCTTCACATTCCATTTTCATGAACAAAGATGACTTTGCCTTTTTACTCTGAAGACATCTGCACTGATGGTGGAAATTCACTGGCAAATAAAAAAGTGGGCATAGTAGCCTGGATTCAGCAGCAACATCAATGGTGCTCAGGATCTCTTCACAACTCCCTCTTCATAAAATATTTATTTAAAATAGTTATATATCATAAAAGTGCCCTGTATCTTAATTTGGAGTTTATCATTATTTCTTATTAGATAAATATTTAAACTCATTTTAACTTATAAATATTGAAATATACAAACCCTATCTTTTTAATGTAAAGTGTGTAAAGGAGCTTTGAGATTTAAAGAATTGAGGATTGTTCCTTCTACGAGGAAAGCACATCATAACTATCAGAGTGTATAAATCCTAGGAAAAGTGTTAACTGTTTAGTATCTATTCTTAAATATAAGCCCTCCTAAACACATAGACATAAAAATAATCAAAACCACCAAAAACCCTCAGGAAAATGTCCAAGTACTCATGAGAGGAATAGTCACTTACTTCCACAGGGGTAGATTCAGAGATTTCACGCAGGATTACTATGCAACGATTTTGATTTGGCCTTACTTTTTCTCCCTTCTCATCCACTTGTACTAAAGGTAAAGCTGTAAAGGGGTGGGAGGAAAAACCCATAAATATTAAAACATGACACTTAACTGGAAAATATCACACCATATTACTAAACACATTGAAGAAACCTGTATACAATGGAAAACCACAAGTTTTGTTAGTGTATCTATTTTTTATATTTATTTTTTAGTTGTAGTTGGACATAATACCTTTACTTTATTTATTTATTTGTATGTGGTGCTGAGGATGGAACCSAGGGCCTCATGTGCTAGGCGAGTGCTCTAGCCACGACCTCAGCCCAGTTTTGTTAGTTTAATAAAGCTATCAAAAAGTTTTAAATCAACTAAATTTTTCAAAATGAAGAAACATGGAAATTTTAAGTCCTAGAAGTGGTTTAATGTATCTAACACTATGAAAGAAAGCAGCAGCAGCTAAAATATTAATAGATTAAAACACAGGATTAATGGTTTCCTTCTTTCTATAAGTCCCTAAAATATTGTCTTATTGTAACTTTTTATTTTGCAATATTCTAAGTCTTACAGAAAGCTCTCACATACCCTTCGCTCAATTCTCCCTAATGATAACACCTTGCAATAACTCTAGTAGTGTCTCAGCAAAAATGGTGTTAGCTTCCCCTCCCCCCCTTCCATGCTGTGACCAAAACATTGACTAGAGCAACTTGGAGAAGGAAGTTTATTTGAGGCTCATGGTTGCAGAGAGTTCAGTCCACAGATGGCCAACTCTACTGYTCTATTTGCTTCCAAAGGTGAGGAAGCAAATGGGGAGGGGAAGGGGAGGGCCCATTGAAGGAAAGCTATTCAGCTCATGATCAGGTCAGGAAGCAAACAGAAATGTGTATGTGTGTCCCACTTCCTCCAGTTATAACTCACTTGCCTACAGTCTGTTCAAACTGATTAGGTTACAGCTCTTACAAATCAATCATTTCACCTCTGAATATTCCTGCATCAACAGGAGCTTCTGAGGGACACCTCATATCCAAACCATAACAGATACCAATGTTGGTGCAATACTCCCAAGAAGCAGGCTTAATTCAGATTTCACCAGTTTTTATGTGCACCCTTTTTGGTAAAGTTTGTGTTTTGGTGTCACTTCTATGAAATTATTTTGCATCAATTCCAATTACAGCACATTATGGTCACAATCTAGACTCAGGGATATCTACCACCATCAAGACACAAATCACCAATAATTCTGAAACCCAAACTAAACAGACAGTATGAAAAAAATATTTCAGGCCAGTATTCCTCATGAACACTTCAAGAACTGGCAAATKGAATCCAACAATATATAAAAATGTAATGAATCATAAAAATGGGGTTATCTCAGTAAGGCAATTTTTGCTTATCAATTAAAAAAAATCAAGCAATCTAAATCACCATATTCATGAGTTAAAAAAAAATACAACCATCACAGAGATGTAGGGAAAGTAATGAACAAAATCCAGCATTCATTTATGAGAAAAAATTTTCAGCCATCTAGAAACAGCGGAAACTTCCTCAATCAGATAAATGTCACTTGTGAGGAACCTAGAAATAGCCTTACACTTAAGGCAAGAAGCCTGAAATGACTCCCCCACACACCATAAACAGGAGCAAAGCAAGAATGTCTTTCTCCCTACTTCTATTCAATACTGTACCAGATCTTCTAGTCAATAATGCAAGAAACAGAAATGAACAGCACCCAGACTGGACATAAAGAGGCATTCACAGACAAGTTTACCTATAGAGAAAATCTAATACAATTTTCATAAAAACTTGAATTTAGTTAGTTTACAAAATTAATATATAAGTGAATTGTAGTTCTATATACTTGCATCAAACCAGAAACTAAAAATATCATAAAATAAAAAATGTGAAGTAATTATAAATTTGATAAAAGATTAATGATCTATATATTAAAAATTATAAAACATTGCTAGGAACAATTTAAAAGACCTAAATAAAGGAAGAGATATTTGTGTTCACACAGTGGAAAAGTCAATATTGGTAATACATCAATTTTCCTCAAGCAAATTTTGACAATCAATTGTAATTACAGTACAAACCCATCAAGCCTTTCTGAAAAATTACAATGATGATTCTAAAATTCAAAAGCACAAGGCGATGTAGTAGGAAAAGAAGTCATTTCAACAAATGGTGCTGGAACAGTTGCACATTAGATCAATGCTTCACACAATGTACAAAACCTAACTTAAACACACATACACACACAAATCCAAATCTTAAACCTAAAACTATAAAACTTATGGAAAACTTTTGTAACCTGGAACTAGGCAAAGATAACATAAGTATACCACCGAAAGGAAGAACTTAAAAAACAAAACATAGACACACACGTAACTTCAAAAGACAAAAACAAAAAAGTGATTTGCAAAAACCACATCAGATAAAGGACTGTTAAAATAAAGAACTCAAAGCTTAAAAATAAAAAAAAAATGCAAAAAAAAATTTTTGTTTTCATGTAAATACAGACTTTAATCTTGTCACAAAAATTAGCTCAAAATGGATCACAGACCTAAATGTAAAGTGTAAAATCCTAGAAGAAAACATAGGTGAGATCTAGATAAACTGGGGTTGGCAATGATCTTTTTGACACACCACCAGACATTATCCAAAAAAGAACTACCCAATAAGCAGAACTATAGTAAAATTTAGAACACTTTCTCTGTGAAGTATGTCAAGAAAACGAGAAGCCAAGTCACAGACTGAGAGCAAAGATTTGCAAAAACCACATCAGATAAAGGACTGTTAAAATAAAGAACTCAAAGCTTAAAAATAAAAAAGGGGGCTGAGRTTGTGGCTCAGTGGTAGAGCGCTCGCCTAGCACACATGAGGTGCTAGATTCAATCCTCAGCACCATGTAAAAAATAAATAAATAAAGTGAAGGTATTGTGTCCAACTACAACTAACTTAACTAAATAAATAAAAATTAAAAAATTAAAAAGGAACAATACCATTAAAATGGGCAAAACACCTGAAAAGACACTTCACCAGATAGATGGCTAATAATCATGAGAGAATATATTCTCAAGAAAAAGTAATTTGGGTGGGTTATTATAAAACTAAATATTCTAACCACATGAATCTACACAAATACCTGTACACAAGCATTTATAGAAGCTTTATTCATAAATGTTAAAACCTGGAAGCAACCAAGATGTACTTTGGTAGATGAATGGATAAACTGTGGTACACTCAGACAATAAAATAATATTCAGCACTAAAAAGAAATGAGCTATCAATCCCTGGAGGAAATTTGTATATTATCAAGTGAAAGAAACCCATCATACAGTATATAAAACACTGTATGATTCCAACCCTAAAATATTCTAAAAAGGGTAAAATTGTGGAGATAGTAAAAAGATTAACGATTGACACGGGTTCAGGAGGAAGAAAATGAAAAGCAAAGCATAGAGGATTTTTAAAGCAGTGAAACTGTTCTGTATGATACTATAATGGTGAATAATTGTTATTATATATTTGTCCAAACCTTAAAATGTATCATCAAGAATGAACCCTAATGTAAATTATTGGTAATGGTATGGTAATATAAGTTCATCAGCTATAATACATGCTATCACTTTGGTGGGAGATGTTATTTGTTATTTATACTGTACCTTCTTTTGCTGTGACAGTAAAACTGTTCTGAAAAATAAATATTTAAAAAAAATACTGGGCTGGGGATAGAGCTGGTAGAGTGCTTGCCTTGCATACACAAGGGCTTAGGTTCAATCTCCAGCACCACAAAAAAAAAAAAAAAAAAACAACAACGAAACAACAACAGCAACAAAACCCCACTAAATAGTAAAGGAAAAAAAAAAACAGTAAGGAAATAGAAATTAATACCACAGTGAGATACCACTAAACATCTAAAATTAAAATGAGCATATTCAAGTGTTGGTTAGGATATGTAGCAACTGCAGCTTCTATCTCTTCTGGTGATATCCAACTGTAAAATGGTCCAACCACCTTGGAAAACAAGTGGGTGGGTCCACAAAGTTAATTATAACTCTACCACACAATGCAGACATTTTACTCCCAGATATTGACCCAAGAGTAAGGGAAGCACATGTTCATACAGTTCTACACAAGTGTTCAGAGCAACTGTACTTATACTAGTCAAAATGTGGCAATAACCTAAATATCTTACAATGAGTGGGTGAATAAACCAATTGTCAATTCCAGTTCAATGGAATACTGATGAGCAATAAAAAGCAATGACCTACTGATACACTCAACTACAAAACAATTATGCTGAGTAAATAAAGCCAGCCATTGCTCCTCAAAAAAAAAAAAAAAAAAATTACACAATAGATTCTATTAAAATCCAAACTAATTTGGGGCTCGGGCTGAGTGATAGAATGCTTGCTTGGCACACATGAGGCACTGGGTTCGCACCTCAGCACCACATAAAACACAAAATAAAGGTATTGTGTCCACCTACATATAAAAAAATACATATTAAAAAAATGCAAACAAATCAATAGAATGCAACCAGAGCACCTAGTGAAGGAATGGAGGAAACCTCTGGTGAGTCATGGAGATACAATAGTGATAATTTCATGGGTATACAAATGTCAAAACTTATCAAATGTACACTTAAACATGTGTAGTTTATGGTAAATTCTACCTCAAAAAACGACAATAAAATAAATACTAATGAAACCCTCAGTGCCTCTTCCTTCCCTAATTCATGTGCCTCTATAACATTTTACCGTGAATTAGAAATTTCATTCTTATTCAGGCTTTTATACTATTTTCATGTGAAACTGATTCCATAGAAAAAGAGCTCTGTTTTACACATACCCAATATCTATACACTTGATTTCATCGTGTAAATATTTGGAAATATGCCTTTAAATCACATTATGGATTTAAAATTTTATTCTTCTTGAAAACATGTAGTTCCAACTCATTTTTTGGTTCTAACACATACCACAGGAACAGAACACAATGTTGTTTCTTCTGATGACAAGTATTTTGGTGCTTTTTTTCAAGTTGACAATTTTAACCAAAATGGGTTTGTAAAACAAAACATTTGAAGCAGATACACTGTGATATGTACTGTGTGTATTATGACACAGAAATAGTTTAGAAATTAGCTTTATCTAAATAACAACAGTGTTACATTACTCAAATTCAATGAAATAATTTTAAAGTGTCCACCGTATATCTGACTCTGCTAAATATTTTGAGGATGACAATAAGATGAAAAAAGCTTCTGAGGGCTTATTTATGTCACCCTCTTTAGAACTACAATGGATGTAATATTCTAACTATATTCTGATCACAAAGATTATATGTGCACATTTCTTTCTGTTCAAAAACTGAATGAAAAAGAACATTAGATAATAAAGTGCTAAACTGAAATGGATAAAAAGTAACATTACAACTGAAAAATTACCTTCAAAGGGGCAACAAAGTTTGCACTGTATACTCAAGAGGAATAATTAAATATGGGATACCTAAGAATAATCAAAAGACTTAACAGAGTACAGACAAGTACAAGAAAGTTATTGGCCTTGTAAAGTAGATTAAAAATTGGATTTCTATTCTAAATGGCAAAAGTGGGAAGTAAAACATCACCACAGTGACATTCAGAACTCAGTTAATGGTAATAATGTTAGCCAATTTCTTCATTTTTTATAAAGCAACAGAAAAACAGAAAACAAAACTTTTACTTGTGACTAGAAAATAAAATTACAAGTTCAAAGGTTAAGATGTTCATCTTTTTACAATACTGTAAAGTCAAGAAAAAAATATGTGCACTGACTGTATCTTCAGTACACAGGGACAGAGACAAGGTGGAAACAATTGCCTCTACAGAAGTGTAAGTAATGAAAAGGCATGATGATAGTGAGAGAAACGAAGCTTTAATTCAGGCATAGCAATGTGCAATCATTCAAAGATATGTACGCAGTGGTGGGAGAGGAATTGTGYACAGTTCACACTGTGAAGGACACCCATCAAGTTGAGTCTAATGAGGGAACTACAGAAGCCATTCACCTGGTATTTGTAGCTACAGTATAAAATGTGAATTTCCATAATTAATCCAGTTCAAAAATATCACACACTTATTAAAGAAGGAATCTGCCTTTAGGCAGGAGGAATCACCAGGGTTCCAGAAACTCAGGGAACATAGGGGAGTGGTGTTCTCTTATGATTTCAGCGATGCATTCATTCAAAACTGATTGAGTATACATTTTGAATATGCACACTCCAAGTCACTTATGCCTACATAAAGGCTGTTTTTCTTCTTTTAAAAAATATAACAGGTTATAGAAGCTTTAAGTGTGCAAAGCAAACTAAAACACAACCTACAATTTGGTACAACAAGCCAATACTGAATATCTACATTTCCTGAAATTCCTATAATTAACTGATGTAATGTTTATACATTTGATGCTGCCAAATTTGGGGGGGGGACTTCATTCAGAATATACTTTAAGAAAAATGCTACAATGTTTCATCAAAACTTAAACAAGGAACTTAAGGAAGTGAAATTTGAAAGAAACTCTTTTTGTGGCCAAAATGCTAATTAAAATGTATTTTATTTTAAGTACTTTGTTTTCATGAATGCAACAGCTGTCTTTATAATCTCCATTTTAAAAAATTCATTTTCTCCTTCAGATGACAAATAAGCAGACTGAGATTTTGTTATGAATTCAGTGTTCCCATTATTGGGACCGTCAGAAAGGAATGAAAGGCTAAGGAATATTTGATTTCCCAAAAAGTACCATTTGGTGACTGGTAGATGTAAAGAGTCCCCAATAAGACAAACGGTGTAAAAACAAGTGTAATTCATTTCAAATTGTCATTTACTTACATCTTAGCACTTCAACAATTAAATCCACATCAGTACTGAGTTTTTTGATATGGTCAAGGTTAGCTACCGTTGTAATTGGCACATACTGATCACTATCCATCTGCGATATGAGATACATGTCACTAGCAAGATTCTCCCTGTTGAAAGAAAACGATCTCTTTTAATTGATATTTCTTTAAAAAGAAGTTTCATCTAGTGCAATATCAGTTTCACAAGATGTACAAATGTGGCATGGTACGACTTTGGGATTGGATGTGGGCCTCCCATCTGTTATTTGCTCTTTCTCTGTCCATAGGTTTATTTTTTCCAAGACACTTGGAGAGATAGAGCAAAAGATAGGGCAGATAATTATTCTTAAAATGTAGTTATGGCTTATCTTTGTTCTAAATAGTTTTTGAGTAATTTATTAAAAATACACACAGAAGTTTTTCTTCTTCTTCTTATGGTAAGGAAATCTAGCTGAATGAACAAGGAAAATATATATATAAAGGCCAAGATAAAGTCAGTACCCAAAATGCATGCTATAGAATCTGGATACTTGCTAGAGAAGCTGCAAATCCAGTTCTGGCTTCCTAGCAGCCAGAATTAAAAGGAAGAAAACAGGATCAGTATAACTTCATGCACAGGGTCAAAAGGTAAGCCACAAATAATCTGCAGTTCAGGTCAAGATGAACAACTTCCTAGTATTTTGGTCAAAGCTAAATGTTTCCTGTGAATTCGCAGGAAACAGACAATGTGTGATATAATGAGCAAGGCCCTCAAAAACACTGAAGCACAATAATGGATTTCATAGGACTCTTCTTACAATGTCCCTTGTGAGGAAAATACCCTTCTATCCCTCATCTCACCTAGCCATTGCACAGATGTGGGTGATTCTAGATTCATGAAGGCTAGATAGAGGTTTGCGAGTAAAAGAGACATAGGTTTTTCAACTTTCACCCATCTTTTGTTCTTAAATTATGCCACTATACAATATACTCAATGCTCCTAATTTGTGATAAAATGGAAGTAGAAGGAAAGCCCAGCACAGTCCCTCCCTCCCTCAATCTCACATAATCCTGCTATCTTTTAGTGCCCCTTTATCAGACAACTCCATGGGTTCCTCAGGGCTTGAGAGAACACTTGAAAATCATCAAACTGAAAGAAAGCTTTTACACATGGCCAGTCAGTTATCTCATACTCAAATCCTTTACATCTAGTTTTGGCATTTGAACTTTAAAAGATGCTACTATGTTTCACTATGAAAGGTATTATTTGGAGGGGGAACCCACAAAAGTAAACATATGAGTGCTATGTAAATAACAATTTGTTATTGCAATGTCTGGCACAGTCTAAGTGACAACATAGGAAATTTGCTCTCAGACTTCACTGAGGCTCAAGATTCTAAGACTACCTGAGACTTTGATGCAGTGGCATGGGGGCAAGGAGGGAGCAGGTAGGAAGTCAAGGAATCTTTATTTCAAATAGCTAAGAAGATGAATTTGAGGCTCCAACTCTGGGGACCACTGACCTGAGGATTATGATCAATTACCTAACATGCCAAAAGCCTATTTACTCATTATTCTAGATATCTAATTCACACACACACAGAGTATTCACACATATCTTTTAGTATATACATGGTCTTCTATGTAAAATCACATTTATAGATAATAAATAATACATACCAGCAGGGATATTCAGTACTAGAAAAACTAGTCTTACCTAGATAAGCAGAATTCCAATGTTTTTTTAAGTACTTCCCGGGGATCTTCCTGGCTTTCTGGTTGAGACTCATTTCCTCCTATATAAAAGTAATAATCAATTCAGGAAAAATAGCTTAAAATTTTCCAACCTGATAATTTAGTATGGCAGTTCTAGTACTTTCAATATACTTATTTACACACTTGAACCCATGCATGAAGTAAAGAAGACTTCTATTATTTTACCTATTAGAAAAGGGTAAATCGTGTAAACAAAACAGTCTCCCTCTCTTCCCTCTAAATCTAAAACATCACAATTTAAGGATTAAATAGCTTCTACACTAGAGCATTAAATTCSCCTTTAAATTTCCAGATAGGCAAAGCAATAAGTGAGAAACTGTCACGTTCTTGTCAGATGATACTAAACAAATCAGATACTCAAAGGACATAAAAGTTCATTCTAAATCCCAGAACAAGTTGCTTATGAGAAGGTGTCAGCCAGTATGACAGGTGACTTAAGTGTGTATGGTCATAGACAACACCAGGCAATAGATCATGGCCTTCTACTGAAGCGAACCCAGGTTTAGGCCAAGACACTCCACCACCACCTGCAACACTCTGGACACAGGTTGTCTCAATAATGTTGAAATGAAAAGAACTGGAGTGCTAAAACACTAAGATTTTTCATATGCTGCCATATAAATCAGCCTGGTTAATTTATGTGTCAATCATATATGTGATTATGTTCCAACCATATATGTGCAARAATAACATAAGAGACATTGGTAATTTGAAAGATTCATGTTAAAGAGCATGAAAAAGAAAAAACAAAGCGGGGGCATTTAGAACAAACGGACAGAAAGTTCAGGTCACTATTATATAATGAGGTTTAACAAAATCCACTCTCAATAGCAAAAAGAAAACAAAACTGCTAAAACAACCAAAAGCAAAATAAAGGAAACCACAAGACATGAAAATGAAAACTAAAAATAACCTATCATTCCCTCATTCAGAGGCTTCTCCTAGTCATTCCATCTAAATTCACATCCCATCCTCCATATTTAAGAGATACTTACTAAGTATCTCCTGCATACTGGGATCTGTTGCAGGAACTGTGAATTCAGTCCAAATAAGGCAAAGCCTCTGCTTGTGTAAGGCCAACATTCCAGAGGAAGAGACAGACAATAGGTAGTTAAATAAATAACTACCCAACATAATGTGAGATAGAAACCCAYAAACAAACCAGGATAAGAGGCCAGAGCTGCATGATGCTGATCTARATGGGAAGTGACATCCGATCTGATGGGAAGGATGTGGAATGTGCCAGGCAGTGGAAAGTGAGTTCTAAACTGGGCAGGTACAGGGACCTTAGAGGGGTAGAGTCAACAGATAGTAAGGAGGCAAAGGTAACTGAGAAGCAGAGTGAGAGAACCTGGTAAGTGAGGTCACAAAGTGGAGCACCTATGAATCAGATCAAGAAGGATGTCAGAATTTAATAGGAGACCAATTCAGAGCTGACATTTTTTAAAATTAATTATTTTACCATCTTTCCTGCCCCATGCTCCCTCCTACCCCTGTGTGCCCTTTGCCCAATCACAAATCCTCTACKTTTCCCATGCCACGCCGCCCCCCCACCCCAATTGAGGATCAGCATCCATTTATCAGAGAGAGAACATTTGGCCTTTGGTTTTTTGGGATTGGCTTACTTCACTTAGCATGATATTCTCCAACTCCATCCATTTACCTGCAAATGCTATGATTTTATTCTCTTTTAATGCTGATAAATACTCCATTGTGTATATGTACCACAGTTTCTTATCCATTCATCTACTAAAGGGCATGTAGGTTGCTTCTATAGTTTTTGTGAATTGAACTGCTACAAATATTGATGTGGCTGCATTACTATTACTATTTGTTGTTTTTAAGTCCTTTGGGTATATAGACTGAGGAGTGGGATAGCTGGGTCAAATGGTGGTCAGAATTGACATTTTGGAAAGACCTCTTCGGTTTAATGGCGCATGTTGACTGTAAAAGGTATGAGGGAAAAGGGGGACCAGTTGGGAGGCTAACACAATAATTAAGGTGACAACACCATTTAGGACTCAAAATACAGATAGTACTGAGGTCAAGAGTGGAATAGAGACGAGTACCAGCATCTAGACCCAGGGCACTCCAACCTCCAGTAGAAAGTAAGATGAGGAAGGCCAAAGGACACAGAGGAGCTGCCCAAAAGTCAAGAATAGTATCAGCAGAACAGCAAGTTGAGAGCTGAGAGGAGAGAAAAAAATCGTTTCATATGAAGGATCTGCAACTATAAAAAAGACATGGTAATGTTAGGTAAGTATATAGTGAGAATTAACTACTGGATCTGACCAAATGAGGATCACTACAGAGCTTGACAAATGCAATTTGGGGGCTGAAAAGACAACTGTCTGCCTGAAGGGACTGCCTAGGAGATAAGGATGTGGGGGCAGCCAGCAGAGAAAACTGTTTTGAAGCATCCTGCTGGGGGAAGATGTGCTGTCTAGTGTGGTTCCACTTCAGATAAGTGATGAAATTGCATTACAATGATAGGAAATGATCCAGCAATAAAGAAATCCATGACTCTGTAGACAAAACAAAGGATCGAGGTTTGTGATAATGTAGAAAAGGAGGKCTCACTTGAGAGATTGTTAGGTTGGGTGGTGTCAGCAGACACCAGATCATCTGCTTCCAGAGACTGGATTTATTTTCCTTTTAAAAACAACAATGATAACAACAAAACAAATAAAATTTTCCAGACAGGGGACATCAGGCAACAAAGGACATGAAACCCTGAGCACCAAGAATATGTGCATTAACCTTCTGGTGACCTTAACCTCTACCTTGAGAGAAGAACTAGACCAAACAGAACATCGAAAGATGAGAACTATAATATCTGATAYTAAAAATACTTGAAATTAAGAGATCAGACATTATAGAAGACTAGTAAACTTGAAGACTCAGCAATAGGAACTTCTCAAAATAAATGCAATTTTTATAATTGACAGAGGGGGTAATATAAGAAATAAATTATGGGATAATTTCAAATAGCTTAATTTAACAAGAGACAATGTTACAAAATGCTCAAAGCCACTGATAAAGAGAAAAACCTGTATGTACATGGGAACAAAGAATACCAGAGATGGTAACTACATATGTAAACATGTAAGCTTTTTATCTTAGTACTATTTAAATCTCTTTAGCAAATTACTATCTTTTAAACAAAAATAAAACAAATAAAAAATAAAAATTAAAAAAAACCCAGTTTATAAAAAAAAAAACAGTTTATAATAAATATAATTATAACATGGAACAGTGATAAACCACCAAGGCAAGGTGGTTCCTGCGTTCCATGTAAAGTGGTACACACTGGCCTGAAGGGAGACTCTGTTAACTAACAGAACATAAACACCAACCAAAGAACCACTCAAGCAACAAACTGAAGTAAAAGAAACCTAATCCAGCCAGTCGAGATAATCCCTCAATTGCAATCCCATGGATTTAGGAGGCTGAGGCAGGAGGATTTCAAACTCAAATCCAGCCTCAGCAACTTGGCAAGATCCAAAAATAAAAAGGGGCTGGGGAAATGGTTTAGTAGTTAAGTACCTCGGAGTTCAATTCCTGGTTTAACAAACAACAACAAAAGCAGCAGCCTATCTAATGGAAAGGGGAAATGAAGAACAAAGAATATGTGGGACAAAAAGAGAACATGCCTGGAGCCCAGGGTGTGGGTTCTAATGTCATTCTCCCATACAAGGAACTAGGGATCCTTGGAGAAATTGCTGATTGTAGGAAGAAAAGAAAAAACAAAAAACCAAAAGTCCTACATTGACAGGAATAGTCAAATGGAGCCAACTAAGAGTTTCCCAAAGGCCAAAGCCAGAACAACTTGAGCAATAAAATACTACTGGATAATTACCCAAGTACAGAATAAGCATTCCTGAATCCATACTGATACAAGTAAATAGATGCATAAATAAAGAAGAAACAAATCACCCATGTACAAGAATTTCAAACAATTTAGTTAGACTCTGCTTTTATAGAAGAAGACCATAAATTCCTTAAGTTTTCTCAATGCAGAGGAACTTCCATCCTAACAGTAGAATACAGAAAGAAAGAGAAACCAAAGGGTAGCTTTACAGTTCAGAAATATAACAAATGCTACTTCAGTCAGGTGATCAAGACATGTCACTTTGACAGTGTGTACCCTTGATATGATATAATGAAAATGGTGCTTTACCTCTGTGGTCCTCCTCCCTAGTCCAAATACAAACATTATGATAAGAAAAACATCAGAAAAATTCCAACAGAAAAGTATTCTACAAGACACTTGACAGTACTCAAACCTTCAAGACTGCCCAAAACAYGGAAAGTTTGAGAACTCAGGCCAAGAGAAGCCTAAGGAAGTGTTCTAACTAAATATAAATGGTATCCTAGGATTCTGATACAGAAAAAAGCCATCAGGGTAATAGGTATCGCTCCTGTTTTAGTATTGGTGACAAATATATTAATGTAAGATGTTGACAGGAAAAACTAGATTTGAAGTAGTCTGTCCTGGGGGCACACGCTAATTAAGATGAACAGAATGCTCTCTCTTAATTTAAAATGGTTCCTTTTCCCCTTTCTCCTGCCAGAAAAACTAGATCCCCTCCCCTCCCTCACTAAGTATCTGGATGACTACAGGAAGTAAAAATTTGTAAAAATTATGGGACCTCATTCTGACCGAGCATCTAAGTGGTCTTTAACTCAGTCTTGTCCACCCCGTGGCTCTAGCAACTCATTGGTTATAATTCAGGTTTTCCTATTTTGGCTCAGGTTCCTGCAGAGGTTTCTGCTCAGTAAGCTGTTGATTCTCTATTCACCTCTCTGTCTTTTTCAACTTTGTAGGCAGTTGGTTTACCCTGTGATCACACATTTCTTCTAATAAGAGATTTTTTTTTCTCCTTTCTTATCTTCTTCACTTGTTAGGACAGAACAGTAACTTTCAAGAACACAAAGTTCAAACATGCTTGCATATGCCTGTGTTTTTGGTGCTATTTGTTCAATTTATTATTGGGTTATTTTACTGAATTTTATCAGT